TTTCTTTCTTTCTTTCTTTCTTTCTTTCTTTCTTTCTTTCTTTCTCTTTCTTTCTTTCTTTCTTTCTTTGTTTTTTCTTTCTCTTTCTTTCTTTTCTTTTCTTTTTCCATTTATTTATTTATTTACTTATTTATTCAATCCTCCAGAATGTGCAGTCACTGAAATATGCCAATTGGGGCAAAAATAGGAGATCCTCGTGGGTAAAAAAAAATCCTCTCTTGTTTCTCAAAACATCTTTTTCTGGTTTTCCTTGATCCGCCTAGGATTCTTTTGCGTGGATATACTGCCGTCGTCATCGTCATCGTCATCATCATCATCATCATCATCATGATGTGAACAACATTTTCATTTGTTCTTGGAGTATTATTAGATCCCATGATTGTCTTCACAGTGTTGCTACCTTATCATTGCAAAACAAACAAACAAAAACTGAACAAGGCTCCCCAGACAGTTCACCGAGTTTTCTTGGCTTTAGGTTCATGAACAAAGTTGTCTTAAATACTTTTTGTTTTTCCTTCCTTCCTTCCTTTTTCTACATTTTTGTCTTGAGTCCCCAAACGTGACAGCTTTCCCACTCTCTCCAGCAGGGGGCGAAAGGTTTCAATGCCCACAACAGCGAAAGGAAGTTCCTCATGCCTCAATTGGACTGGCTACCATGCTGTTAGGTGTATCCGGGAGTTGGGAGGACATTGATGCTACCTCACTTCCAGTGGAATTGGAACCTGGGCCTCCTTCTGAAAAATTAACCTGCCAAACATGTTTAAAGAGAGAGAGAAAGAAAGAAAGTTTACAACGAAGAAAAGGAAAAGGATTGGATCCAGATTTAGCTGTACTGGAGATCACTTATTACTAGTTTCCAAAGATGTCATGGATTTATGACAAGTGTAAGAAAACTTAGATCAAATCCAAGGTCTTTGTTTCTCTGGCTTTCAAAACATCATTGGTTGTGTTTCTTCAGGGCAAATTCTTACTTAGAGGTATCCACATTACGTAAATGTTACCCAAAGGTAAAGTTTCCCCTCACACATATCTGCTAGTTGTTCCCGACTCTAGAGGGCAATGCCCATCTCTGTTTCAAAGCCAGCGCTGTCCGAAGCGTCTCTGTGGTCCTGTGGCTGGCATGATTAAATGCCGAAGGCGCATGGAATGCTACTACCTTCCCACCAAAGGTGGTCCTTATTTTTCAATTTGCATTTTTACATGCTTCTGAACTGCTAGGTTGGCAGAAGCTGGGACAAGTAACAGGGAGCTCACACAGTTACACAGTGCTAGGGATTCGAACCGCTGAACTGCTGACCTTTCTGATTGACAAGCTCAGTGTCTTAGCCACTGAGCCACTGTGTCCTGGTTACCCAAAAGAGTCATGTAAAAATGCACTCGTGCTAAACTACTCATCCCATGTGAACCTCTTATTGTTTTGTGTTTGGCTTCTTTTTACATCCGAGTCCCTACATTTTTCTCCCCAACCAAAATCCCAGCATAAGAATAGAAAAACAATTAATTAAACCCCTTTTATTTATTTATCTACTTATTGACATAATTAAACTGTTATTTATTTGTTTCTTTGTTTGTTGCTTTTCATTCCACAAAGTTACCCTGAGTTAATCATGAATTATACCAGTAGGATTGGGAACACATTCCAAATGGAAAATGGAGAACATAAGGTAAAATCAACAGTTATCACTAGAATAAAGAGAAATAGAAAGACAACATGAAGCAATTCCCATGCAGTAAAGGCTACTAAATTTAATATGTAATATTTTCCAAACAATCTTGGATTTCACCTAATATTGAGCGGTCAAGATATTAATCCGCATGTCAGTTCTAGTATTGCTCTCTAGTATTGTAGTGACTGATGAAAGGAACATGACTCCAAAACAGAATTATCCAAAGTGGTCAGTATTGACACCCAAGGGTTGATGAGACTAGCCAAGAGGCAGTTGTTTATGTTACTCCAAGTACTGTAAAAGTACAATGTATTCAATTACTTTCATATAATAAAGGTTGGGGCCCAATGAAGAATCTGAAACGTCGGGAAAAAATTCCTGAACTGAAGAGTTTGGTGATCCCTGCTCTAAAGAAAAGCTAAAGGTAAAGGTTCCCCTCTCACATATGTGTTAGTCATTCCTGACTCTAGGGGGCAGTGCTCATCTCTGTTTCAAAGCTGAAGAGCCAGCGCTGTCTGAAGATGTCTCCATGGTCATGTGGCTGACATGACTAAACACCAAAGGTGCACAGAACACTGTTCCCTTCCCACCAAAGATGGTCCCTATTTTTCTATTTGCATTTTTACGTGCTTTCAAACTGCTAAGTTGGCAGAAGCTGGGACAAGTAACAGGAGCTCACTCCATTACATGGTGCTAGGGATTCGAACCACTGAACTACCATCTTAGCCACTGAGCCATTGCATCTGTTGTATACACCCCAGAAATAGCATTGATTATTAAGTTAACAAGTTGCACTAAATCCCAAGGAAGGGGTATCAAACCCACATTATCACAGCGGTATCACATGACATATCGCAACTCCCCCCCTTCGCTAAACCAGGAGTGAGCATGGCAGGCATATAATGTACCTGGCCTGCGATCCTAAGGTGTCAATCCAAATGGGAAGTAACCACCATTAAAAAAAAATATTGAATAGTTTACTCTAAATGAGTTTTGGAACCAGTTCTAAAATTAATGCAATTCTCCTAGAGCTCATTCAATTATTTCCTCTCACTCCCCCAGAAATATGCGTGCGTGTGAGTGCGTGTGTGTGTGTGTGTTAAGATTACTGAGAACAACATTCAAAGTAATGCCACGCTATAATTTTCTGAAAATGTCCTTCTGCTGAAAAAGAGCTTTATCTTCTCTGGTCTTATTTTCTATCTCATTTTCAAGCTACTCTAAAATTTAAAAAGGTGGTGTTTTGAGCAACTTTATGCTTGCAAAGCAAACTGCTCCTATTTTGTCTTTGTTATAGAACTCTTTCTTACTCTGGTTTCTCCCTGTTATCTCCTCTCTCCAACTTCCTCTCTGAAAAAAAGCCCAATTCGATCTTCTGGGATATTTAACTGATGTTTAACCAACCAGGGGAGCTGCATTACACTGGAGAGATTATCATACAATGAAAGACAGGAGGTTTACACAAGTTCCTGTACTAATTCCCCGCTAAGGGGAATACAGTATGCACAAGATGCTTCCTAGCTGTGAGAAAGAAATTCTCATCCAGAAGTGTACTGTTGTGGCCCGCCCGTGGCCAGAGACGCTGGCAGCAGATTCGGACAGTGAGGAGATTGGGGAGGAACATGGGCCAGTTCTGAAGTCTGGGGAAGGCTCTGATGAAGGCTCTGTATCGGAGGCAGAGAGGAGGCCATAGCGGTATGTCAGTTATCAGCTGCCTTCAGAGTCAGACATCGGTGAGGCAGACGAACAGCTGGAGTCTGTTCCCAGTGTGCACATGCACAGAGTTGCCAGACGAAGGGAATAGCTAAAGAACAGGGGTCGACTTGGGAGTAAGGCCACAGATGGACGATGACTGGCCCCTCCCAGAGGAAATAAAAGAGGAGCAAAAGGGGAATGGAGTTTGCAGGAGACAATTACTTCACTTAATTGGTTCATGACTCTCAGAAACTCCTTGCCAAGATTTGCAGATATGGGCCTTTCAGCTCTCCAAGCCAGATAAGGTCTGTGACTGTAAATCCTCCCTTGAAATACTCTGCTGTATATGAATGAGCAGAATTCACAGTAAATTAATAAAAAGATTTTTTGTCAGGACAAGTAGTCTGCTTCATGCTCTTGGAAAGCCTGGGTCAGAACATGTACTAACCCATCTCACAGAACTATTAGGGATATGTTTCAGGGGGAAGAAAAACATTTTCCCCACCACTTTTCCCCTGGAAAAGAAAAGAATGGACAGAAATGTATCTCTTTTTAAAGTAGACAGATTTTAAAACTGCAGTGCTACAATTAAACTACATGAACAGAGCTTATTTCTGTATGTAGGATCATCCTTTCTGAAGGGACACTGATCCCATTTATGGAATGGTGTACAGTTTTGGAACGTTAGCCAATGATTCTCAGGATCCTTCTGGATCACTAAAATCAGAATCAGCCATCTGCAAAATGTATTTTTTTTTTAACTTAATGAAAGTTATTCCTTCCTAAATGAACTGCTCAATAAAATGCATTGGGATTTTAAATGAAAATTGAAATTCTACTCAGGTATTCCTCAACTTACAACCACAATTGAACCAGTGGTGGGATTCAAAATGTTTTACTACCGGCTCTGTGGGCGTGGCTTTGTGGGCGTGGCAGGGGAAGGATACTGTAAAATCCTCATTCCCTGTCCATCCCACTAACCTGCTTTCCAGCTCCATTCTCCTGTTTAAGGGCAACAAAAGAAGATCAGCTGGGAGGAAGCAGGGATGGGGCCAGCCTATTTACCGTTTCTACAAACTACTCAAAATTTCTACTACTGGTTCTCCGGAACCTGTCAAAACTGGCTGAATACCACCTCTGATTAATGAACGCAAAATTTCGTTTGCTAAGTGAAACATTTGTTAAGTTAAGTGTTCTTTGCCCCATTTTATGACTTCCCTTGCCATAGTTGTTAATTGAATCACTGCTGTTGGTAAGTTAGTAACATGGTTGTTAAGTGAAACTCGTGTCTCCATTGACTTTGCTTATGAGAATGTCACATTGACTCCAGGATACTGCAACCGTCATAAATATGAGCCAGTTGCCAAGCATCTGAATTTTGATCACATAACCACGGGGATGCTGTAACAGTCGTAAGTGTGAAAAACAGTAATAAGTCACTTTTTAGCGACGTTGTAACTTTGAACAGTTACTACACGAATTGTTGTAAGTCAAGGACCACATGTATAAAGTTAGCCCAAATAAAATTTATATAAATAAACTTTATCAGCTATGGTTAAATCGGTAAGCCATAGGACTTTGGAATAAATGGGCAATGCATTACAGTCTGAACTGCTGACACCACACTATTTCAAAGGTCCTAGGTATAAGCAATACATCCAACATGATTCTATCTGTGGATTAAATTCTTTTATATTAATTTATAAAGAATTGCACATTATTTTAGTTGGGTTGTGATGTATTACAATCCTACACAGCAGTCATAAGTGTATTACCCAAATAGGTTCTGCTGAACAAAATGGCACTTAATTCTGCCTAACATCACTGTCCTAAATCCACCATAGAGCCCCTGGAAGATAAAAATTATTCTGCCACTCTTCTTCCATGTGATGAAAAATAAATGTCGCTCCCTTCTTCCCCCCAAGAGCCACACAAAAATATTAGTACAGTTCTGATTGGCGGAGTGCTTAAATTTTATATTTTCTTTAGTTATGAGATGACTGGAGAATCTAATGTCATGCATGAATGGCTTGTCCTTCATTTGGCAAACTTTTCTCTGATAGTCTGCAGCCACTCTGGCTTCCCAAACATCAATTAAATCCCAGATGAAAACATTATGAAGAAATTCATCCCACAATGATTTTTTCTGATCAGAAAACCTGGATCGCCAAAGAAGATGTAGAGATGTAGAGAGATGTGGATATTTGTAATAGATCTACTGTGGGTACATTAGAGCAAGTGTAAAGCCTCACAGATAGAAATCCTAAAGTTCCTGGGTATGAAATAGAAAATCAGGAGTCTTTTTTGACAAGGGGAAAAATAATATTCAAAAACTAAAAGTCAGATACCAGTTAGATTGAAGGAAAATGTTATACATGAAAAAGCTATTTCTGAAACAGAAAATTTGAGGGATGCCTTCTTTTGCTGGAGACCAAAATTAGGTAAGTCATCAGAATTCAGAATGGGAATATGGGGTATAACTTCACCCATTTACCCTTATCACATCAATGGAGATGGAGATAGAGATAAAGAGAGAGAAGAAAGAAAGAAAGAAAGAGAGAGAGAGAGAGAGAGAGAGAGAAGGAAGGAAAATAGGAGGAAGGAAGGAAGGAAGGAAGAAAAAGGGAGCTGGGAAAGGAGGGAGGGAAGGAAAGAAGGAAGGAACAAACAAACAAACTATACTGAATCAAATCAAAAGTCCTTGTAAACTATCGGTATGTATCCAGAGGTGCCCAAGGCCTTGCTTTCTCACAGTAACTGATGCTACTTTAAGTGAGTTCCATTATGAACCATTCAAATTAAAAACCATATAACTAAGGTGGCAAACTTCAAAAAATTCATTTCCTGGAAGACATACCACAGATGCTTCTGTGGCATCACAAAGGATTCTGGAATCACACTTAGTATATTGTTGCATCAAGAAGCTGCTTTTGTTTAGCACAACATCAATATGAATGCTAAGACGTTTCCTCCTTGGGCTCAATTGTCAGCAAGAGCAAAAGGTTAGAACAGTGTTTCTTAACCTGAACAACTTTTAAGATGTGTAGATCACAACTCCCAGAATTCCCTAGCCAGCATTCTGACTGGTGAACTCTGGGAGTTGAAGTCCACCCATCATAAACTTGTCAAATTTGAAAACCATCTAGTTAAACTCTCTCTTGACAAATTACATAAAAACACAAATTTCCTGTACCGGATCCTCATTATGAATCATTCATTGTGGATTTTTCTCCCACGCAAGTCTTTTCCCCTATTTTTGTCATTGTGATATATTTTTTCACATTGTACTATATCATGAAATCTTCTACTGTGTTTTGAGTCTCATTTCCTCCCATAAAATACTATCAGTCTCTTTTATCATTAAAAGAAGTATTGAAATGTCGGTATAATCCCATCTAAGTACACACACAGTCTTGGAAATAAAATATAAAGATTAAAACCTCCCTCCCAGTAAAAAGGGTAGAAAGTCTATTCCATACTAGTAACTAGTACAGGCCTTTTCAGAATGTATTGTATACGTTTTCATTTGTAGGGATGCCCTTTACACTGCCATTACATTTTACTTCTTTTAAAAGTATATTCTGCATATTTCTCTCCGTGCATTTCTTTGGAAGTCAGTTTCTCAAATTTAAAGAGGTCTTTTCATGCCCATATTTGGCAGTTTTGCAATATTAACAATGTCAAAATAATGCTATAAAATTATTTTTATTATTATTCTTGAAACAAACCATTCACTATCTCATTAAAAGAAGCTTGGAATAAGAAGATACATTTCTAAAACAAAAACTTTGATGTTTTCTTTGAATTTGGTAACACTACAGCAACCCAATCTCACATGTTCTATGATTCCTACTATGAATTTCAATTCCTTAAATAAAACATATCTTCTTATGTTTAAGATCTGGGCAGGAAATTGAATTACAGCTAAACTTCTGTCTTTAAATCACTTTCTTAGACATAAGTATTGCAGACAATATCGTCCCATATGAACTACCAAATGATTAAGTGTTAAGAAAGGGAGCTAAGAATAGAACACATTGATAATTTCCTATTGGCTTTTTGTGAAAATTGGCCCATTAATATTATGTTAATATTACATGTACCAATATTACATGTTTTACATGTACCAAATGTAAAAATGTTTCTTTTCCTTTCTTTTTTAAAAAAGGAACAGGGTCTAGTGGCAATGGAAAGTAAGAAATATATCACTTAACAATGCAGTCCTACACAACCTATCTGGGAGTAAGTCCCATTGAAGAAAACAGGGCTTACTTCTGAATAGGAATGTATACAATTGCACTATACTGATTCATAAAAGAAAGACATAGTCACTTGAAAAAAACTGTCCATTTGAACTAATTGTTACACTGGCTAATATGACAATATATAGAAAGTAATCCCTATGACTATTTGGGATAAATAAAAGGGATTTAAGTTGTATAAAAATACAGCAATGAACATGGGTGGAGTTTTTTTTAAATAAAACTGCTACCATCAAAACAATGAGAAGAGAAGAAGATATAATCTCAAAATGTATATTTAAAATTTGTTCTATATTCTACACACAGAGTCTATACCCATGATGGTGAAGCTATGGCATGTGTGCCAGAGGTGGCATGCAGAGCCCTCTCTGTGGGCATGTGCGCCGTTTCCAGCTGCTCTTCTTGTTTCCGGAGTGCACATGCATAGCTGGTCTTCGCAGATGCTGGACCGCTGGAAAGTGGCCTGAAAAGACCCCCAAAACAGCCGAAAAAAACCAGGCCTTTTTCGGGTCATTTTCAGACAAAAAACCGTCTGAGAAAAGGCCTAAAAATGACCTGAAAAACACCCTGAAAAATGGCCAAAAAACAGCCATGTGCACACCGGACAGCTGGTTTTCAAGTTTTTGCTGTTGCAGCACAGGCGCATGCACGCAGGTTCCGTTTTGGGCACTTGGTGCCAAAATGGTTCGCCATCACTGGTCTAGACCTTATCAACTTATATTCCATTATTAATGTCGTATTTCATCAGAGTACTCACTTGGTAGGTTCAAAAAACCTTGGCAACAATTCAGCAGTGTCCATACAAATGCCCATAATCTTAAGGAGTTTAAGATCTGAGGCAAAAACACTGACAGGTTGAAGCGTCTACCAGGAAAACTTTGTTGGAGTTGGTTATAGGAAATGCAGGTTCAATTCTTGGCCATAAAGACCTGTGGGGGATGGGAGAGGTAGTCCTGTATCACTTGTGCTGAACATACTTGGCCAGTCCATCTCCCACCCCACCTTCGTGCCCTCTCAATGTACTGTAAAGAATGAAATTTCCCAGAATGAGTTTAGGTAGGAAGGTGGTGTTTGTTTGTTTTTAATGGGAAGTTGTATATGAAAGCATTACAGCAATAGCATTTAGATTTATAAACCACTTCACAGTGCTTTACAGGCCTCTCTAAGAGGTTTAAACAGTCAGCATCTTTCCCCCAACAATCTGGGTTCTCATTTTATCTACCTCAGAAGGATGGAAGGCTGAGTCAACCTTGAACCTGATGAGAATCGAACTGCCAAACTGCTGGCAGCCGGTGATCAGCAGAAGCAGCCTGCAGTACTTCACTCTAACCACTGTGCCAGTCAGGCTTTAATTTAATAAATAATAACAATTTATTAAATCATACGATGAGAAAAGGCTATAAAGCAGCACAAAGCTAAGTTTCTTAAATACTAAACACATTAATAAAGTAAAAGTATTCTAATTACATCCAGGATGGGCCCTAAGTCTTATGAAGTAGTTTTAAGGTTAGAAAAAGTACGGCAATTTTTCAAAATAACAACAGTGATTGCCAAATGCCTTTTAAATGCTCAGCCTTATTGATCAATTAGATCAAATTTTCAGCTAGGGGGATCAGGCTTTCCTTCAAGCCACCCAAGGATCCCATCCCTTATGAACATAAATACCTTCTAATTTTGAAAGGGGGCAAGGGGTATATTTAATTTGTTAGAATTGTAACAGGTCTTATCTTAAGAGGGATCAGTTTCTTGTCTTGCATTGTTGGAGGGGCAGTGAAGGAAGAAAGTCGAGGTGAAAAGTTTCTTCTGTGATATTGTCCGCTATCTATCATTTCTAAAAAAAAGTTCATTTGCAAGAATATTTTCAAAATTAATAGAAACTGCCTTCTGTCCCAATTCATTTTTTAAAAAAGCAGGCAATAACCATGACACAAGTATCAATAACCAACAATAACAAAACACAAACGCTGTTCTTTCAATAGCACAACCAGATCCTAGATTTCTGGGCTCTTGGCTTTGGCATTTTGCTGTGATATAGTGTCAAATGGCTAATAAGACACTCCTAACTGGATGCACCCTACTCCGTGTATATCTCCATGTCCTTCATCCTGAGCAACCTTCCCCACCTGGGTGCCCTTCCACATGGATTGGACTCCATCTCCCAGGATGCCTAGCAGCAGCAGGAACAAATCCAATTAGATTGGCAAAGGCAAAACATGGAGATGAAGAGAGCAAAGTGCCTGCTTCTTGCTACAGAAAAGGGGAAACACAGGGGAATTGGTATCCAGGGCTTGAAGATGTGGCAGCCGGGAGGGTGGGGAAGGGGTTAAACAAGGATACCAAAGTGTTTCAAAGGAATGAGCACCAGGACTCGCTTTTGTATACACAGTGGGCCATTCATGGCTGCAGGGAATTGACACTTACGAGTTGTTGAAAAGCCGGTTGATCTATGTCACTCTGCAAGGCGAAATCGCTGAGGACTTTCCAGGGCGGCTGGTAACTCTGCACCTCCACCGGATTCACCTGCAAGCCACCGTCATGTCTCTCTGGACTGGCTGCCACCATGGGGGTGCCCGTCATCCCCTGGATGTTCTGCAAACAAGGCAGCACAGGCAATGAGCAGCCATACTAAAGGCACCCTAGATGCCTGGTGCATCCACACACACAAAAAGTTACCAGCTGTGCTTGGCTTTAATGCATGCCCTCCCCTGATCCTCTAAGTTTCTCTACCTTCCATAGCACCTGGAACAGGTTGTTGTTGTTAGTTGCGAAGTTTTGTCCAGCCCATCACCATCCCTTGGACAATGTTCCTCCAGGCCTTCCTGTCCTCTACCATCCTCTGGAGTCTATTTAAGCTCACGCCTGCTGCTTCAGTGACTCCAGCCAGCCACCTCATTCTCTGTCGTCCCCTTCTTCTTTTGCCCTCAATCTTTCCCAGCATGAGGCTCTNTGTGTGTGTGTGTGTGTGTGTTTCTCCATCAAAGGCTTCCCTGGCTGTGGGAGAAGGCGCAACGCAAAGTTAAAAGTAGATTTGCGGAGAGGGGGAAGGGAGGGAGAGAAGTGTGAGCATTTTCCACGCTTTTCAAGCCATCCACACAACCATAATTTGGAATGGGGGGTGGGGGAAGGCGATGAAGTGGGTCGGAAACACAGAAGTCCGGGTAATAGGCTTTTTTACATGTCTAGGGAGCAGACTATCCCAGCCCGAAATCTTTGATTTGTGGGTTTCACTTTTTTTCCCTCCCCAATTTTCTCCTCCCTTTGGCCAGAGACTGGATTCAGCCGGTGTGCAAGGCATTGTATAGTTCCCAGCTGTGGTGGGACCGCAGTCCCCGGAACTCGTCCCGAATCAAATTTGGTGGCGGAGAGGAAAAAAAATCTCTCATTGTCAGAGAGACAAAATTTGGATTCTTCGGGGTTTAAGGCACCCGAAAGATTGGAAGCGCGGCCGCCAGTTTGCTCAAAGTCATTGGCGAGGCTGCGACGGGCCTCTGACACGGGACCCTTTCGTTCCCCCTCCACCACCACCACCTCAGGCAAGGCAGCCAGATCCCTCTGTGCATCGAAGGGGAAAGGGGGATTCCCATTGATCTTCCACCGATTTTTCAGCACTGTCAAAATAAGGAGTCCTCTTCCCCCACACGATCCGGTTTTCACGCTCCCTCGTTTTTATATCCCCGACTTTCGAAACGACAGTTTTTTTTTCTGGGTACCCCAAGTCCCACTGGGGTGGGGGGTGGAAGCCCTCCAGCATGACGCCCAAGGCGAAGGGATCGCCAACAAGGCGCCAGGCTGTCCCTGCTTTCCCACTCGAAGCGCTTCGCTTTGGCTCCTAACTTTCGCGATCGCGAAGGAACAGCTTTTAAAAACCGACCCGAAGCCCCGTCGCCCCGTCGCTTTCTTACTTTTCGGTGGGTCGCCCATATCGCCCATCTCTACCGAAGGGTATAGGGTCCACAGTGAAATGGTGCACGGCTGCCCAGGAACTTTCCCCGAGACGATGGAAAAGAAGAAGAAATAAAACGAATAAAGCGGCGGCTCTGCTTTTTGCCCCGTGGAGGAAGGGGGAGAAGATGCTGTCAAAGGGACGGCAAGGGATGCTTGCTCGTTCCGCCGCCGCCGCGCTGGGAATCGGCCTCAGGGAGGATGGATGGATGGATGGATGACCGGGTCGCCCCTTCTTCCTACGGTGAGAACGGCTCCGTCCGAAAGAAAACCGCCCCCGGGGTCCAGGCAAGCGAGTGAGCGAGAGAGAGACAGAGAGCGCTGTCGGAGGCGCTGCCCAGTGCGTGGAAACTCCGCGCGCCTCGACCACGAGCCTCTTCCTTATCTCTTACTCAAACTTCTCTGCTCCAACTCAGCTCGCTCGTCATTGGCCGACGTCGGCCGCGGGGACGTCAAATCTGCCGTCTCCTGATTGGCCGGAGGGAACACAGAAGCAGCTGTTCTGATTATCATATTTCAGGGGGCTGGCGAGCTGGCCAGGCGGCGGCTGGAGAAATCCGCGACAGACGCAGAGAAATACTGGGGGAAGAGGGAGAAGGGGGGAAGGAAGGAAGGAAGGAAGGAAGGAAGGAAGGAAGGAAGGAAGGAAGGAAGGAAGGAAGGAAGGAAGGAAG